CCACTGCACCCAAGCCAGGTTTTGCAGCACTGCGGACCAGGGCAGAGAAGGTGAAGAAGGGGAACAATCTCTGGCACACCTGAAGTCTCCACAGAGGGGTCCAGGCATCCCACTGCTCCATCCTGGCTCTCTGCTAACCATTAGCTCCCCAGAGATACAAACTCTCTTTCCAAAGGAGTGGCATGCTCTAAAAATGAATTGGCTGTGGCTGTACATTTTTATCACCTCATTTTTGAACCATTGCCTTTAAAGGAGAAATCCGTAAGAAAAAGTATGGAAAGAGATATAAGCCATCATTAACAAATTATAAAGCCAGGTTGGATGTGGCTTTGAGCAACCAGGTCTAGTGGAATGTGTCCCTATCCATGGCAAGCAGTTGGAACTGGATGCACATTATGGTCTCTTTCAACCCAAACCATTCTATGGATTGCATGATCCATACTAGAGTACTTTGCAGAATTGAGACTTCAGTAGCAAGTCATGCTTTTAAACTATTAAATAAATAGTAAGTAAAAAAAGTGTTGTTGATTCTTCCAGTGTTTTACACCCAATGTACGTATTCCCAGTTATTATTCTACCACAATATGTAGTACTTCTCACAGCCAAAGCTCTTATTTTATAAACATTATGAAGTAAGGAGGCAGTTATTTTTATAAGGGATCATAACATTAAGAATGCCTATGTAATAAATTGTCCTGTCAAAGTGGGAATAAAAAATTGAGGCTCTGTTCTGATTTCCTTTCACACAAGTACACATCAAGGTCACTCATATTTGGGCAGAACTCCCTTTACCAATGAAATGCTCTACCAAAACAGATATATATCCCTCCTCTTTGAAATATGCATGATTCAGGATCCAAACTGAGTAAATGCCTCTTGTGTTTAAAACACAGCTCTAGTTTACTGTAGGTCTAGAGTAATTTGTACATCTACCTGTGACACAAAAGTCACTTTATTTCCTCCTGCATGAATAAAAAACACTTCCACAGCTCATGAAATCTACCTCTTTCATCTCACATGCACAAGTGGCAAAATGCCCTCAGGGGGGCACATCACCCCTCTGCTGCTTCTCAGCTGTCCCTTTGCTCCCTTTGTCCATGTAAGCAGCGATGTATTTGGCACAGCAGGAACACACACCACGAGGAGCCAGGCAGTGACATTTCCTCCTGCTTCCTTAGCTCTCCATGGTGCCCATGACATCATCAAGGAAAGCTGTTGCATGCAATTTACACTCTGTGTACTACAACACAGCCCCAGGACTTCAACCCTTTCCCATACGTTGCTGCAGTTGCTACCATGAACTTGTATAACTTGGAAAAAGTTGCCTCAATGCCAGAGAAACATATTCCTGAGCAATGTGGAAAACTGCTAATTTTAAAGCAGTCAACCTCACCCTTCTGTGTTGGAAAAATACCTGTAAATCAAACCTAATTTGGAGGCAGAATTGTGTAATAGGGAAAACGTACTGAAGTATCAGCTCAGCGAAGTAGGTTAAGTGAACTTTGAAAAAGGCAGGGTGCCAGCATTCATTGGTGTGCAGTCTTGGATGTGACAGCTTTTCTTTGGGTTTCTGGAGAATATGGCTGACTACAAACCAGCTTCAGTGAAAACTGAGTTTGAACCCATAAATGAAAGGTAAGAATGCTTAGAAAGAGAAGCTACGGTTTTTTTTAACAGAACTGTTCTGAGGCAGATATAAGAAAGGATGGAATGAGTTTCAGGTACCAAACAACCTTGTCTGTTTACAAGATTTATGTCAATCAATCCCTTCTTGCTGCCATTTCATTCCTACATCATACAAAATTATATCAAGGAAATATTGCACACCTCAGCCATTTTCATAGCTGTTTCTTGTTTAATGACTAACTTGGTTTATAGATCAGCCTAAGAATTGAGAGTTTATTCCTGTTTAGATAATCTACCTCTAGATGCTGCTTCTTTTAACTGCCTCAAAAAAAATAATCAGCTATTAAAATAGCTTATTTTTAAATCCCTCCTAGCACAAGAACAATAATGATAGCATCTCACATTTTCAATAATTAATAACCTGCCCCTCAAGTCAAGGGAAGCTGCTAAACTTTGGCTTAGCTCACTTCTGAGAAGCTGCGTTTTTAACTCACAGATCATACAGCTGTTCCATTTAAAGTGCTGGGCTGCTGTGGATGTGACCAGCAGGTCAGAACAGGCCTTGATTTGCAAGCAGTCTAAGTACTCACCTGCTTAATACGGTCCAGAATAAGGAACGAGTTCTGGTAACAGTTACCTCTCTTGGACCATATAAAGTGGGAATGTACAGACTGCATCAAATGAAAAAATAAAACAAAAAAAGCTGCAATGACAGTGGGCATCTCTGATGTATTTCCATTCATTTACAGGAACATCCAAAATTCTGCTTCTTCATGTGCAGAGAGAAGATGCATAAAAAGCTTCACTACTTAAATACCCCTTTCAATACCTTTCTATGCCCCTAGACATATCCCATTTATGGAAGAGTAATTTGAACTGTAGCTTTCCACACTAAGCCTTTTGTTTCTCAACTTGAACTGCCATTCTCTCCTAGTCATTCACCTTCATCCAACCATGTCCTTTCACCCAGCCAGCTGGAAATACCTGAGCAATCATTTTGTTCTGGGCAGATGCACGGTTTTGTGTGCCAGGTTCAGAATTTTCAGTTTATTTCACCTGCCTACTTCCATAAAAGACATTTAAAAACATTTTCAATGAAAACCAGAGGTTTCAGTCAACCTCTGCACCTAGAACTAACCCAAACTGTAACAACAGGCTGTGACAAATATTGATGCTTTTGGTGCAGTGCTTCCTGACCACACAGAAGAGAGAGAATGCAACTACAGCAAGCAAGAAATCGGGGTCAGAGTCCTAAACAGATGTTCAGATTTCCCAAATACGAGGGGTTCCACATGGTCATTACTAACATTCCGGTGACGGTTGATTAAGTTTGTCAAATCTTCTATCCAGGATGAATCTTTAACAAAACTGTAGGTAGGATAACAAACACTAGAGGAAAACATAAAGAGATCTTTGCCTTATTTATTAGGCTGCTCATTACTGGTATATTTCAGACGTATCACCTTCCAGTAGCAGTTCTAAAGGGCAAAGTATCATCACAGGCTAATATCTTTCCTGTATTGATCTCAAAAGCACTTAACAGAGCAGGTGGCACAAAGTCAGGAATTACAGCTTTTATAAGCTGAGAACATCTACTGTAATACTTCAAAACAAATTGCATTTAATATTTTAGACTACAGCACTTAAAAAGACAATGTAATACTAGTTGGGGGGGGCCTTCTCTATCTAAACTTTTTAACATGAAAAGGGCTAGTGTTTAGGGTTTTCAGTATGGTCAGTCTTTCCCCAGTATTCTAACACTTTCCTTCTAGGTATGGTAATTTGACATGAGTACTAGCTCCTCAGTTATCTGAACTCTAGAATTTGTTCTTTGTGTCTGTTTATGGAGATGCATACACAAGATTCTCATAATGAAAGTGTTGTCAGAGTTGTGCTAGAGCAAAACCGTGTAGCTTTGAAAATGTTGGAGTCTTTTTGCCTCATTTAAACTGGCTTGTTCTCTCTAGTCCACAAACCCACTTAATCAAAAGCAGATTCCCAGCTGGATGATAACAGTCTCTTTTTGTCCAGGTCTTTACAGCAAACTGTTACAGCAACAGGAATCTCTGTAGCCTACAGCTAGGTGCACACCTGCTTGCTGGTTATTTCTCTAATCTCTTCTGTAATATCATCACCTTCTACACCTGGCTGGAAAGAAGATCAGCCTCTAGCCAGGCTGCAGTTGTTCTAAGCAGCAGAGTTAAAATGCCAAATTGCAGTGCTCTTTTTGGACATGTTCACATATCCTCCCATATGGCCCCACTGCAGGACTGAATTCACCACATAACCTACCTTTCCACATCATCGTCACCAGTTCTTCAGGGCTTGTTGTTCACAAGGTAAAGGGGTTTTTCCACACTTAATAGCTCAAAACCTCCATCAGATCACACATAGAAATACACCTCTCTTTCAGAATGCTCTGCATTCAGACCTTTCTGCATTAATGGAATAATGCATCATTCTCTGCATTAATGAAAGCCTCCAGTGTTCTTACTGTAATAACACACATCAAATGCACATTGAAATCTGATTTCCAGACACCTTCTGTGCTCCTCAGGGATGGCAGCAGCACCCTCTGCTGTCACACAGCAGCACCAAAGCCAGCTGAAGCCCCAGTTGCTGCACTGTGCACAGGGAATTTCAGGGACAGCTTTCTACATCCTCCACTAAAGATCCTGATCCATTAAACCTCACAGTGACATTCTGCAGTGAGCTCTGCACTTCAAGACACCTTGATTTCAAAGACAGTGACTGTGTCTAGAAATAATCACCCAAAATGAGATTCCTAAATTAGTTACTTGCACCCATCGAACACCTAAAAACTGCACTAGGATGACAGGAAATCAAAGCCATGCTAATAGAGCTAGCAGCTTCTAGAAATGCATCAATAAATCACTGATACTTCAACAATTACCTTAAAATACCATCGTCTAAACTCTTGCAATTATACAAGACTTGGGTTTGATTTTTTTCTGTGCTTTTTGTTCTCTTAGCTGCAGTGAGAAACTTGAGAACATAAATTTCAGCAATCCAGAAGGCAAATCAATTTCAAATGTAACATCACATGATTCTCATGTGGTTTTCTTCTTTTCCAAAGCAACCCCAAAATGTCTTACAGCAGCTGGCCAGCGATACGAAAACAGTCATTGACAGGGCTTCCTGCAACCACAAGTGCTAGCCTTCAAGCCGACCCTGTACTGGAGGACCAGTAACACCAAACCAAAACGACAGCCATCAACTCTCTGGTGATGTTTTAAACTTCAGACAGATTTAGAAACATTCATTAGCCTGGCCAGCTGTATTGATCAGTCCTAGGCCACACAAAATCATCTCAAAAAAAGCTCTATGCAGTGTAACCATGTTTAGAGTCCATATTGACCAAAGACCTCTTTTTATTTTTTCCTTAATGAGTGAAGGCCATCTATCAGTCTTCCCAGCAATTATTTCATCACTGGCAACAGCATTTAATTGTAAACCAAATACGGGAATGGAATACAAAAGGGGTGCCTTCGAGGCAAGGATTACAAAAACATATATACATACCAAACATAAAAGACAGAAACAATATTAAGATCAAAAGCAAATGCAGGGAAAGAGAGATTATAGTGTCATTTGCAGCACTTTGATTGAAGGGTCTCAATCCACACTAATAAAAAGAGAGTTTGCTGAATATAGAAATGCAAGTATTTTACACAGGTTCAGTAAGGTTGTGATGGGATGGCAGCTGTACAGAACCTCGGGAATCAAAGCTGAGTATGTTCATTCTCATTGCTGAAACGTTTCAGAGAAATACAAATCTTTCAGTTCTTTGTAAGTGAAGATATGCTTCCTAAAATAGAGAAAAATAAGTAGTAAAATAAGTGTGTATTACCAAACCAGCGTGAAACTCTTTCTGGTGGTAGTACAAAATAAACACTATCTATACCTTCAGTGAGCCTACCTGGGTAAGTTTGCACCTATATAATAATAAAAGAAAAAAAAAGAAAAAAGAAAATTACAGTCAAGCTCCTAATTAATACTGTTTTCAAATTGCAAGAGCTACATATTAAATTCAGGCCAAGACTGGAAGATTAAAGCCTTGATTGAGCTGATCCAAACCTAACTTTTTGTTTTACAATTAAGTCTATCAAGAGACAATATTTACCTCAAAAATTCCTGCCAACTTTCCAGCTAAAAACTGTCCATCAGCCAAGTCAGCCTTCAAATTTTGCACTGACTGTAACTAAAAGCTACATAAATATGCAATGCTGCAAAACCTGACAAGGACCAGTAAGTGCCACTGCCACTCAAGCCACTAGCATCATTTTACAAAGCTGCTTTTTCAAATGTCTGCTTCCTTCAAAGTCAATAGCAAAACTTTTGCCAACTTGAGTGACTGCAAGGTCAGGCCCTGAGAGAATAATCCTTTCCCAGCTGCACATTCTGAGACTGATGTTGAGCTACTGGTTAAAGACGATTGAGGCAAGGAGGAAAGCAGAAGCCCCTTTTATCGCTAGCATTAAACACAACTGACTGAACACATATTCACATGAAAATGGAGAGTAGACTGCATTTGTTGAAAACAAGATGCCACCTTCTAGGCAGCAAACAGTTCCCATCCTCAACGCACTCTTTAAGAGAGACAATTGGCTGAGGAATCTCATGCAGAATAAATCACTATTTGCCAAAATGAAAGAAAATGCCTCTTTTTTTTTTTTTTTTTTTTTTAGTAGAATGCCCAAATTATTTCAGATTTCCAAAGGTGTAACCAAAAGAGTACACGTTAGTGTGATGGTTTTCCAGTGCATTGGAGAGTACAAGTGCATGGCTCTGGGCCATTCCAGAGGACATAAATCAGCAAAGAACAAGACCCACAGCGCTGAGACTTCAAACCACCCAAAAGCCAGAACTCCCAGTGCTGTTTAGTGCTTACAGCTATCACATAACAGATCCATTAACAATCAGAAGCAAAATCAGACTGCCCATCCCAGAGCATCAGAGAAAGAAGCGTGATGATCTCAATGCCCATGAGTCACGATGCGTCAGTGCCCATCATTATATCTACTTTATAGCATGTGTTAACTTCTTAGCCAAAGCTACATTGCACAAAATACTGTATGGCCTGCAGAAACTTTAAAAACATCTTTTGCAAGGGAAAGGTTTCAAAAGCCTGAAGCATATCTTCTTAGAACAGCACTGTCAGATGTGTAAGGATGTAATAAATTGATCAAGTTTTCCTAGTATTTGGTAGTAGGAAATGCTCAGCTTCCTAATACTTCAGATTAAGCCTGCAATAGCATTTCTTCATTGTGTATATACATACAACAGTCTGATCAAGAGTTTTAAGGCTCTTATTTCTCAAAATAAATGGTCACAGTAAAGAAGGGATTAAGTGGAGTTAACACAGCTATTGGCAATACAAAGGGATGTTCATGTCATTTGCTATTGTACAATCTGGGGCATTTCACTCCATGCTTTGGCTTTCTTCTTGGCCAGGGATAGCCACAGTGGTTCAGCAGGGCTGCACGGTGTCATTGGCAGGTTAGAGGAATGTCTTGCTTCCTTCTCAACAGCAGGAATCACAGATGCTTCCTGAGCAATAGGTCCAACTTTACCTGCCAACAAGAAGATATCCATCAAGCATCAGAAGGCTAGAGAGTTAAAACCTCAATTTCTGCCAATAACATTTCCTTCTCTTTAAAGCAATTGTTTGCACAGCTCAGAATGTTTGTGATTGGTGAATAAGTCAGATTCATTGTTAATCTGGGTATCACTAGCACTACCTGGTGCAAGACAGGTATGATGGCAAGGACTGGCTATTGCAGTGGAAAAATTGATACTAAGCTGTTAGTAAATAATCTGCCCATAAAAGAATCTTCTCAGTCTCAACAGCAAGTGCTAAGCCCTCATAAATGAAGGAGTTCTTCAAAAGTCTTCAAGGACATGGAGACTATAGCCCCGGGTATTTTTTTCTAAATTCATGTTCTTGGCTATCTTGTTTCTTAACCTTTTCAGACTCTTAATTTCCATGACAGTGCATAGCAGAGTTCCACAGGCTTATTTGCTCTGTCAGTGCAACAAAATCTAGGAATAAGAATCAGGAGTACGCAGGAAAATGGAAACAAAATATCTGCAGGGTTCACCCTGCACCAAGAATCACCCCAGCATTGCTGCAGGGTTAAAAGTAACTGGTATATATTTTTCAACACTGAAAAGAACTAAAGATGTTTTTTCCATCTTCACTGCTGGCACAAATATTGCTCCAGCAATACTATAAAATACTAGGTAGGGATCAAATCAGTGCTTTATGTTCTTGGGCTTTTAAGCCAAGAAGGTGGAATTCTGATGGGGGTACATGTTCCTCTTCATGCAGCCTAACACAAGCCTGTCACCCTCACAAAGGATAGAGGAATACAGATAACGCTCCTTGTATCCTCGTATGGCTTTGTGTTACTATTTGAAAAGGCCTCCTCCATCCATCTTGTTTAGAAAATTTTCAAGATTCATGTCTGCAGGCAGAGAGCCTGGAATGGGGCCTGACAGAATGCAGCTCTGAACAGATGCAGCTCTCATTTCTCAAGACATGGTTCACAAGTCTCTCAGCATCACGCTCTCTCCATCCATTTCAGGCCAGGCAATACTTCATTTCTGTGTGTAAGTCTAACCGAAGAAAAGTCAAACTTTGTCTCACAGCTGATTAGTCCGTGTGTGGCATGTGGCAGGCAGAATGAGGCTGCTGTGCTCCAGCACAAGAACAGAGGCCACATGGGGACTTAAGCAATGTTAAGTACAAGAAGCTTGATCTTGCTTGCACTGAAATCAATTGAAAATGTCCATTAGCTCCATCAGTCACACTCTGGAGCAAAGCCAAAGAAGTTCCCTAACTCCACTCAGGAAGTCTCTGGTCTTTTAAAAAATCCTAGCTCGTTGGTAAGTCTTACAGCAGGCAAGCTATACTTAGGAATACTGGAGAAAGTGTACTATCCATTAACATAGGCTGCAGTGCAACATACATAGCACATTTCTGAGAAGTATTAAAGGTGATGTAGGAGTTTTACTGCAACTTTAATTTTGGAAATTAATTTTCACCTTTGGGAGACTTCCTTCTTCATAATAAGCAAAAGTGAGTCTAAAGTCCCTTGCATGTCCTGACAGCACAAGGTAAAACAAAACCCAAAAATGGTTGTTCATGACTATTAGACGAAAGACAGGCTTTGGGACAAACCTCACCATGCCTAGGGTGAAGTGGGAGAGAGAAGAGGCAAGCTAAGTAATCTTCCCTTGGTTATGACATAACACAGCAGTTACAAAACAGTCATGCTCAGTAGAATAAGGATCTGATGCTTGGAATTCTCTTCCAGACTTAGCTGACCTTGAGCTGTCCTGGCTCTTGGTGTTACGTGCAGGATGCATGCATTGCACAGAAAACCTCAACTATCAAGAAAACTGTTAACAGTTAACTCAAAAAGCATGATCCAAATTAATAACTCCTCTGGGCTTTAAATCTGCATCCTTTCCACCACTAGCACCTTCAACTATTCAAATTGCTAGCTGTGCTAATGGGAACCAAATCAGAGCAGAGTTTACATTTGGAATTCCCAATTTCCTAGGCATGGGCTGACAGTGCTGAACATTTCCTAAATGACAGGCATGGTTTTCTGAGCAGTGGAGGAGTAGCATTTTCCTTGAACATCAGGACTGATCAGAGCTCTCTGTGATATTCAAGGAGTGGACTAGAATATGCCTATAAACGCTGTCCCTAGAGGAGAAGCAAGTCATTGGATGTCCCCTGACTGGACAGCCCCTAGGCCAGTTCTTGGGAAGAGGTGATGCAGAAAAACTTATAATTCTGCTGCAAGGATCACAAGTGGTGGAAGTTCTAGCAAATGAGTAGCAGTGGAGTTCTGTGGAGTTCTGAATTTCATCTGAATGCTGCTGGGATTCCAAGTTTAGATGATTCAACACACAGAAATCCAGTTTGTGCCAGCTTTTCAAAGGAAGACATTCTAATATGAGCAAAAATCTTGGCCTGTTTACATTTCGTCTTTCACTTTGCACCTACAACCATAAAATGGAGCTGTCCTGTAACAGAATCCTTTTTTAAAACTATTTTCTTTTAATCACACACACAGAGTTAGCTGGCAGCTGACATCAGAGCCTGTGTTAGTGCCCATTGTTAGCTGGTCAGCTACCTGTAGTAAGGGAGAAAGTTTATTTTGTAGGACTCATAGATTCAAAACCATAAACAATTACTACAGGGAGCAGGCATAGAGGTACCCCTTTATATCTCTAATACAACAATTCTGGATGCTGGTGGATTATAAGGCATAAGCAGGCAGGTGCATGCACTCTCTCTAGGCAGCACCTCTTACTGCAGTGTCAGCAAGAGGAGCCTCAAAAGAAAAGCCACTACTCTGACACAGTGGGGCATTTCTTATCTTCTTAGGCAGTATCTGAAATCAATAGCTTTCAGCTAGCACAATATGCTTTTACAGCTGAAGAACTGGCTTATCTATATCTAACTGGAGCATGTCTCTGAGGTTCGGCACCACACTGAGAAAGCAGGGAGGGATAAGCTGCAGCCCAGCAGTAGCCTTGGAAGAGGTACGTGAGTCACGATGTCTGAGTCACTCTTCCCCTGCATTTTTCTCACAGGCAATCACAGCTAGCAGGGCAGCAGAGAGGCCATCAAGCCTCTGTGTTCACCTCAGGGTGGAACTGACTCTATACATTATTTTTGTCTATTTAGTAAACACATCCATCAATGGAAGCCGCACACTCTCCATAAGCAACCTACGCTATTCCACACTTCACCACTCATATTGTTAGAAAATATTTCCTAATGTCTAAGCTAAACCTCCCCTGCTACATTTTAAGCTCATACAGGACATAAAGACAAATCTTGTCCTCTGCACCAAATTAAGCTGTCTTCTCTAGACTAAACAACTCCACTCCCATCAGTATTTCCTGGCTGACTGGTCTAGAAGACCTGACCTTTTTTGCCGTTTTCTGGACACACTCCAGCTCAACTGCTATTCTTCAGTACTGACCTTTGCCAATAATAAATCACCATTTTGTTTATACGCCACTCCATGAACTGGCAGTGGAGATAGAAGTTCCTCACTTGCTTTCTCTGCTGAGTGAGCAAGCCAATACTTTGACTTATATGAAAACTATAGTCTGAACAGGCCTTACATAAACTGTGCTGATTACCAAAAGTTTCGCCCATCACCTGCCAACCTCACCACTTAATGGTGTAAACTGTAGCCACCATATAAAGACGTAAAGAAAGAGAATACCTGCTGCAGCACACACACTGGTCTTCATTTGTGTTTTCTTGTCCTGAGAGCTCAAGGAAGGCATATTCTTCTTCAGCGTGTTCTCACTACCACACATCCCTTGCTACAAAAGGAAAGAAGAACGCAACTAAGAAACCTGGTTAGTCACTGGCACTCATAAAGTTCACCCTGGCAACATCTTTAAACCTGTCTGTGGAAATTAAGCAAATGCCAGACAAGGATGGTTGTGGACATCCTGTGGGAGGAGAGATTGAAGGCAAGAAGGAAGACAGCTGCTACAAATACAGGATTAGTTCACATGCAGGCATGTTAACTTCATAGCTTGAATAATAGCTCAGGATAACTTGAAGGCAAGTTATTCTGTTTTACAGATGGAGAATTGAAGACCTTGCCCAAGCTGTACAAGAAACTTGTGCAAGAGTTAGTGGAAAAGTCAGACTTCCAGTATGCAGTCTACAGAGCAGAGCAGTGAATGCAGTCTGCAGATCACTAATAGCAAGGAAGCTAGTGCAACTCAAAGCAGCTCTTGGGCTACAAAATACATTCGGGGCAATAGGCAAACTCTGCAAAGCTTCAGATTTGAGCAGTGCAAAGGAACATATAGGAGGATATAGCTTTGAAACTAATCACTGTGACAGTATAGTCACATGTGTTTGCTCACTTGCATCAGTTGTCTGTCTCAACCCATATTAGAGGCCAGCCCTGAAAGTCTCTCTTTGAGTAGCACTCACAACACACCTCCCATGAAGATGATACTGAAGAGTTTGCAAAAGCACCTGGGCAATCTGATGCAGAATTCATACCCATGCAACATTACTTGGTACTCTACCTCCTCTTGATCTGCTTTGCTCAAAGCTTTGTCTTCAGATTTATGTTCTTTGGCAAGAGGGTGGTCCTGGAAACCCTTTTGTTTTAGTTTTGCCATGAAGACCCAAGCTGGTTCAGAGGGAGCAGATTCCAAATGTGGAGAGAAGACCTTTTCTACAAAAGAAGCATTTTGAAGTAAAGAAGGGATTTAGGTCAAGTCAGTCTAAAGCTTCTGTTTTGTGTTTTAAATCCTTCAGCATCTGTAATACCCTTTGAACACTGTGGGGATAAAATTACCTTCCCTCATGATTTTGTCCTTGGTGATAACTGCTTTTCTGTTTATTCTGGAGTTTTTGACCTGACTCTGCTTCCGTTTAAGTCAATGGCAGAGCTCCCATTGAGATCATTGTGAACCGGATTTTGCCTTTGAAATAACATCCTCACACTGCAGATTAAACGAGTATGATAAAAACTGTTTTTTCATGGAGGCAGTAAAATACAGGCTGCCTTTTTGCTTTTTAAATATTTTAAATAAAGTGATTTTAGGGGAAAAAGAATAATCACACCCAATGCAACTCTCAGTCAAGGTTTGAGCTGCTGTAGTCTGGAAACTGAACTAAAAAACAGCATCAAGTTTTAAAAAAACTCTTAAAATTCCAACTATATGTACAACCAGGAATAGTTCAGAGGCCCTTCAGCTATTATCCTGTTGTTATTCTTACTGGAACACACCCCTCATTAAGATAAGCCAAGAATTCTCCATCCTAGCCAAATCATCAAGCCAATTAAATGATGGTGCTGACGAACTCAAGGCTGAATTTGGTCTTCATCAAGAGGATTTTTATCTTTTGTTCAACACTCTGCCAGTGTTCTTGGCTGCTGTTTTCTACAATATCTGGATAAAATACAGTATAATACCTGACAGTTTATGCCCATTTTGCTTCTTTTCCACATCTTCTGATCTTGTCTTGGGAGGATTTTTGTCTTCTAGCAGATCTGTTTTTTTAGCAACTGATTTTGTGCGAACAGGAAGGCCTGGAGATGTTTTCCCTGTGCCCACTGATTTCTGATCCTCTTTGACTGAAGCAGAAGGAGCAGTGGGAACAGCTGAAGGGATCAGCTTTGGACACTCAGCACGGCTTTCATTCTGGTATTTTAGTAAAGACGACGTTCTCCTTAGTCTGACCCCAAATGGGTTTTCAACACTTTGTGCTTCATGGTCAGCCCACTCCATAGAAGAATTCAGATGGGAATTGCTGTCCCTACAATCTCGATCAAATCTATCAGAGTTGGATTTTGCCGATTCCTGGATGGTGGCATCAAAACATGCGTGTTCTTTTGTCACTCCTTCAAACAACTCTGGTCTTATAGGAGACGTTGGGGAACTTCTGGTAGAGGAATCTTCCTTTGAATTTGAGCCTGCTGAGAGAGATCTTTGCCATGCTGGTGCTATGGTGAATCTGACTGGTTTAGCAGAAGCAGTCTTCAGTGGAGTTTTCACATTTTCATCTGAAGATCGACTGTCTTCCACTGCTTTTCCATGAGGTGGTGTACTGCTTGTCTGCTGGTTCTTACTGTCATCATCAGAAGAGATGCTACTCTTCAAGCCAGCCAAACTTGAAGAGGCAAGACATGCAATGGACAGATTTTCAGAAACGTACGCTGCTTGCCTGTCAGTGTTGGCCTGTTGACTGCCTTGGTCACCTTTTGAAACAGAAACAACTTCTGCTTTAAAACATACTTCCAGTTTACTTCGAGGTAGCTGGCAACCTGCTTCTGAGACAGATGCAGCAGTGTCTGGGTTTTTTTCTGCATTGCTTTTGGATGACTCAAATTCCATTATTTCACAAGTTTCTGTGTCATTTCTTGTTACTGAACTGTTCTCAGGCTTCAAAACAGCCACTGTCTTGATGTGAGAGGAGGACACTGAATTGGCTACTGCAAACTGTGAAGTGCTTGGTACAATATCTGAGACAGCGTGGTTGGAATGATTCTCACTAGAACCCAAGGAGGCTTCTATTTTGCCAATAAACAGTGGATTCCCCTTTTCTTGGTATTTGATCTTTGGGTCCACAGAATTTACTGAGGACCTTTGTGCAACATGTGCCAATATATCTATGCACTCTGTTTCCATGCCATTGCTAAGCAAGTCAGCTGCTAGTATGTCTGGAAAAACAACAGCTTTTTCTTCAATTTGCTGCAATTCTGGAAGTGCAGATGCTCCAGTACTGGTGTTTTGCTGGTGTAATTTCAATTCATCAGCAGACTCATCTGAACAGTACAACACTGTTGCACTGTGCTGCTCCTCCAGGTTCACTGGAGAAGGCTCAGGTCTTAAGAGGGGTGAAGCTGCTTTACAGTGATGGTCCACATCTGGGAGGCATGCATCCTCTTCTAGCAAAGTACAGGAGTCTTCTGCTACAACTGTGGAATCACAAGAGTTGCAAGCAGCATCAGTGGAACTTTTTACACCTGAAGTCTCCTTAGAACTGCCTTCCTTTGCACAATATCCCACCTGGGCTGGTAATCCTATATTAAACAGAGGAGAAGAGTGCGCACTTAAAGGTTAAAATTCAAGCACCATTTGTACCAGTAATTCATTCCAGACAGTGCAGTCATTCAGCATGAGTTGCCCAAGTCTGGGAACTGCTGTCTGCTAAATCAGGCTGTTCAAAGCATATATAGAAATGGGCTGTCCAAGTGAGGATACTGATAAAGCTTTCAGTTTGAACACACCTAATCCCAGGAATGACTGAAAGCTGTTGTCTGCTTAAGGTGTACAAAATCAGTTGCTGTTTAGCTCTTTTCTGAGAGCATACCCCTAGTTGTATGACTACTAGCCAGATTGCCCTAGACATTTCTTCATGTGTATGCCTAGAAAGGCTGTCTAGAATGATCTGGAGGATATTCTGTATTTAAGCAGAACATCTCAGCATCAGGTTAACTGTGTCTCTTCTTTGTGTTCTTCTTTGTGTTCTGCAAAGCTGAACATATGGATAGCTTAGATGTATCTGCACACACAGCAACTCTGATATGTGACAGCATCAAGGCCTGAGTCTGCCCTGATAACAAAGTGCCAACATGCCCACTACACCATAGCATTACCATCAACCAGTGCATTCGTAACATGGTGTTGAAAATCTCCGGTGCTGTTGTGGAGAAATTTTATTTGCAATTACAATTGTGTTACCACCAGCAATTAGCTGTTTTTCAAATGGTAAGGAGGGTAGAAGCACAAATGAAGATCTAGTAAACACAAATCAATTAAAGGCACCTTATACACATAACAGATATAATGCTGAGGTTAAGATGTTTTTGGATGTCAAGAACTCAGATCTCCAGTCAATGAGATCTAGCCAACTGCTTAGCACAGGTACTTCTGATCACGGTACTTTCCCTTCATGTACTTTTTAATGTGGCTCTCAAAGTTCACCATTTCCGCATCATTGTGTTGAGTGGAGTACATGACTTTTTCCATCATAACACTTTAGCAGCCAGAATTGGGTTTATGACATAAAAGCAAAAATGCCTAGTTTGAAAGGACTTGCAATTCAAATAGGTTCTCTCAGACTTACATAGTAGAGTTCAAGCACTCAAACTAGCAATAGATACATCTTCATTACCTTCACAATCACTTTTATGCTGGCCACTCTCAAGCAATTCTGTTGAATTTCCCTTCTTTTCTAGAGTTACAGGAAGACATGCCTCATTTTCCAGGTGTTCCACCTAATGAGGTGCAGGAAGATCTTTTAATTAAAGAATAATGAACAAAAATAGTACTTTATACACACACACATTAATGAATACTCAAAACATAGACACAACCAACCCCAACACTGTGGGTAATGTACTATCCCAGTGAAGAACTCAGAAATCATTCATGTTTAAAATGTCAAGGCAGCACACTGATCTCTCTTGAATGTGCAACATTTTGTGAATGACATATTCTGAGTGAACAAGTATGTTTTTAAGACACCACCCAAACTACCTGGTGGCATGGAACAGACCAAGCTGGAGACATTAACATCACTTCCATTATCTCTGATTGACAACCCACAATTAGCATTTCTCCTTCAGCACTGTAGCTGTACCAGCTGCAGCACAAAGAATATCCAGCAAAGATGCTGCAAGACCCAAGTTTCCAGGAAAACCTCATTCTCATCCTGGATTTCCCCCATCCCTTCTCAGGGCGAGGCACTTCTAACTCCAGGATAAATTTCTGTACATGATTCTCTGATAGAGCAAGGGAATCCAGCACATATTTTCATGTGTTTCTCTGATGGAGAAGGGAACATTCAATACTCCTTATTTCTGTTACACGCCAGTTCAACAACCTTTTCTATCTGGTGAAATTCATCTTCACAATGAAACTGCCTAGAAGCCAGCATGAGAAGCATCTCATCCTAATTTCCCACATGCAGAGCCATATTCCTTCCCAAAGACCTTCAGTCTTTCCTTTGACATACAAAGAATTACATTAAAGCTACTCTGAAATTGTTTGTAGAAACAGACTTAGACTTTACAACTGAAAACTAGCTTTTCGAACAACAGGAATGTTTTTACAAATGAAGTGTAACCTGCAACTTTCTTGGCTAAATAACGAAAAACCAGAGTTGGACTTCGGCTCCCATGATATTGAAGTTTTCTGAGTCTTTTTTTTTTTTTTTGTTAATTGGTGAAAAACAAGTGGTTTCCCTTCTTCCAATGAAGAAGAACAACAACAAAAGTGAAGGAATACAGAAAAAAAGGAAAAAAATAAATTAAAAATTCAAATTTGTTTCCTTCTGCCCACTGATTCTTTTCCAGAAAACACTTACCTGGGAGTGTTGCTGATTCTTGTTTGTAAAGCCTTTCTGTTTCCGGGGGTTTATGGCAATCCTGTGCCTGGCTGCTGAGGTGTCAAGGCAGCCAAGGGGACTGGCAGGGATGGTGAAGTCAACGGGAAAGAAGCTGCTGCCTCTTGAGCCAGGGGCCCCCAGAGTGGCAGAGGATGAGGGGCTGATGGGCCTGGAGGGAGCTCCAGAAGGTACCTGTAAAACACAAAACACATTGTTACACATTTTGGTTGGCTTCCCCACATCTCTGATACAAGTCTTTGCTAGCTCATTCCATTTCAGAAACCTGCAATGGCTGGATTTTTGGACATGAACACTCATGCCTAATGTCATCTCTGCACAGAGATTACTCAGTTCTCTGTGTGCAGACGTACGTTAAACAAAAGTGAGAAACAGTCTCACCCACAGCAAGAGGCTCAGCTTGTCCTCATCCCAGTGTATCTGAAAACCATTTGCAATATACGTATGCACCAGCAGGAGACACTGGTGCAGTTTTTATAGCTGCCTTCTCAGTACTGTGACACATCGCAGGAATACCTTATTAAAAAGACACAAAAGTAGCATGGATGCTTGCTCCTCATTACCTCTATCTCTAAGAAAGTTACCATAGCCTCTTTGTTCTTTTAAACATCCACTCTCCAGCAAAATCAAATGCTTGTCTCCAGCAAGTACCCCAGAACCATCTTCCAGACGTGATGTGAATCTCATCCTCACAGCAATGCTTTTCTGGGGAACTATACAGCAGTAACCTTAGATTATGCTATCAAAGCAAAGGGTTTACAGAAGGCCTTGTAGAGAAACCCCTAAACATGGAGCTTGACTGGTTTTGTTACTGTTTTGAAATGCAGACCAGACTTTCAAGAACATTTGCGGATCATCAGAGCAATCCCAGGCACAGCTACATGTTGGGCAAAGAGATTCAGAGCAGCCCTGTGGAGAAGGACTTGGGGGTGTTGGTTGATGAGAAAATGAACATGAGCCAGCTTCAGTGTGTGCTCACAGCCCAGAAAGCCAACCGTATCCTGGGCTGCATCAAAAGGAGCGTGACCAGCAGGTCAAAGGAGGTGATCCTGCCCCTCTGCTCTTGTGAGACCTCACCTGGAGCATTGTGTGCAGTTCTGGTGTCTTCAACATAAAAAGGACATGGAACTGTTGGAACAAGTCCAGAGAAGGGCCATGAGGATGATCAGGGGCTGGAGCACCTCCTTTATGAAGACAGGCTGAGAAAGTTGGGGCTGTTCAGCCTGGAGAAGAGAAGGCTGCGTGGAGACCTCATAGCAGCCTTCCAGTATCTGAAGGGGGACTATAGGGACGCTGGAGATGGACTATACATTAGGGCACTGTAGGGATAGGACAAGGGGTAACGGGTTAAAACTTAAACAGGGGAAGTTTAGACTGGATGTAAGGAAGAAGTTCTTTCCTGTTAGGGTGGTGAGGCACTGGAATGGGTTGCCCAGGGAGGTTGTGAATGCTCCATCCCTGGCAGTGTTCAAGGCCAGGTTGGACGAATCCTTGGGTGCCATGGTTTAGTGTGAGGTGTCCCTGCCTACAGCAGGGGGGTTGGAACTAGATGATCTTAAGGTCCTGTCCAACCCTAACTATTCTATGATTCTGTGAATTTCACAAACATGCCAAACAAACTTCATCCAGTACAACATACCTGTTATTTTGGCTTTGGCCATAAAGCTAGGTGAAGCACAGCCAGTTAAGTGTGCTTGGCATTCACATGTTAGGAGGTTTTAAGTTTAGGATATAACACAGCATTTAAAGCATGTATGTTAATGGAGTTTTAAGGTAATGAAAACATCTTCCCATCTGATCTACAAAAATTGCCTAAGTACATTGCTTTATGTTTAAGGTAACTAAAATTAATGTCCTTATTCCCCATTGATTTTGCTTAGTTCCTAGAGCTTAAGCAAACCACAACAGAATGTATTATGACAGATGAAGACTTTTCTCACAGCAAATTTACAGATTGTGGAAGAAAGAATGTAAATAAGCTAACTATTGTTATAATTCCACAAGATTAATGACAGACCAGTAAGGATCACTGCACTTATAAAAGCAGTAACACTCTTCTCATTTCCACATACAAGTTCTTCTGCCTTTCAATTATAAAATTACAGTTGTGTTTATTTAAGATAAAAATACCTGAAGTCATTATCTGAGCTACTGCTGTACGTAAATGGTAAATTCCCTACTCTTCTGAGGATTTCTGACTCTGAGCACTGGCAGTTGGCATCTTCTTTCAAAGACAAAGGAGCAGACACATGAATTCCACGTCAGTGTTTAAGTGTAAGATAAACTTGGTGTTTGTTGGTTATTGGGCAGGGGAGGAGCTTGCACAAAGAGAGGCTCATTTCCTAAAGAGCGTTTGTGCCAAAACACTGTGCTCAGTCTCACAAGCTGAGACCCTGTTTTGCTTTTAATCAGTCTGGGATAGAAATGCAAACAAGGAAGTTAGATTTCTGCAAAGGCTATCTGGCAAAGGCAAGATAATGCTGGTTAATGTCTCAGGGAAGTCACTTGCTGCTTGCTTTGAGTGAACGCCTCACATTTAGCTTTAGATTAGCCAAAGAGTGGGTCTTTATAAACGTGGAAGGCACTGAGAAGTTATATGGATGATGTATCAGGGCTCCACACAGAGGTGACAGCATCACGAGGCTCTTGGAAATCCCAGTGAAGCAGCACAGGACAAAGAAATGAGGTAACTATCATCTGCAAGAAGTTCAATACAATAGCAAAATGTAACCCACTACACTGTGTACAACTTCAGACTGCTAAGGCTCAAATCCTCTTTTCCCTTTACTAAATGTACAGTGCAGTTAAATAGAATAACTGGTGTAGATTTCTTAGTGTTTTTCACAACTGTCCTCATTTTTGGAATGAGGTTATTCAGTTTAACAACTTGTGTTTTGCTAACTCAAATCCTGGTATTACATAAATAGTTTCAAAAGCTACTGAAAAAAAATGTTACTTAGGAAAAGGGGGTTTATTTTAGATAAACACATTGGCAAGATTTCTGCTATGCCAAACTGCTGACTATGAAAAATATTTGGGTAAAGGAACATATACGGTTCCGTAAAAAAGCTAGCCAGGTTCCTAGTGAGTCAGGGGGGAAAGGAAGAGCCTCAAAGTGGGGAATTCTAGGCAACATGTAAGAGAAAAATATTTTTCCTGTCCCTGTCTCTCTCTCTCTTAAGAGATGAGGTTGTAAGACTGAAAGAGCTCAAAGCCTCCGGAACTGGACAGAAAGGGCTTTTTGCATTGTAAGATAAGAACAGTGTGCAGGCTTACAAAAGGGAGCCTTTTAGTTAAAATCTAAAATGGGAGATGAGTTAATAAAATGTACATTGAAGTAAAGATAAACTATATACAAGAAATTATTTAAAATAATGACAATACAAGTCACCTAGATCACTTGGGCCTCTAAAGTTGTATGAGTAGTAGTCTAGTACGTGAGAGAGACACTGTTTTATCTTTCTATCCCTAAAAGCATAAGATGTAGGAATGACTGAGAAGGGCAGTGTCTGATCTCAACCATGGAAGGGAAAGTTGAGCTGGTTTTGCCCAAAGGTTACTTTCCCCCTTCTCCAAGGCTTCCTTGTCCTCCACAGAAGGGATGCCTTTTGGTAAGACTCGTGTCCTTGGCTACACCAAGTATTTTGACTCAGAAAGTTAAGCTTGTGATTGCAATTGTACTGTTAGTGCTACAGAGCTGTTTTGAAGTCAATGCGTTTGTCACCAGCAATCCAAAAGAACCATATATATCGCCTATGAATAAACCATATTATTTGTGAACCCAACTGGCTCTTTTGAATCTGACCAGGCTAACAAACAGGTTAATACATTATGCAGCCAGTGTGGGGCCTATAGTTAGTCATGTTGCTATAGCTGTAGCTACGTTATATAGTTATGTTGTTAATGGTTGGACTTCATGATCTTAAAGGTCTTTTCCAACCTAGCTGACTCTATGATTCTATGGTTTTGCCTGTAGTTTACATTGTTGGGGTTTTGCAACACACATTGTACCCAGAATAAATATATAAAAAAAAAAAAAAAGTATTACTGTACTGGCTCCATAGAGACATCACACATTAGCAGGAAAAGCAGCTATTTACCTGTTCATCTTCACTGTCTGTCCCGCCTAAACTCAAAGAGCTATGACGCTGAACAAGGTTGGAGGACTGTGGGATAAAATAAGGAAGAGGGTAAGTCAAGGGAATTATCACATTGAAATATCTGGGACTGGGTATCCACTGCCAATTGTGAGAAAACACAAGAGGAAAGATAAAGGGTCACTGAGTCCCTGTCTCACAGGGTAGATTTCATTTGTTCACTGGGGATCAAAGTAGAGAAGCTTTATCCTGCTGTCAGAGATGCCATGAAGGTTGACCACATGAGACGATAAATTTTATGACATTATTTTAGCTTATACTTTTAAGATCTTCAAATTTACAAATGCTCACATGTTCACTCAAGTCTAAAATCATGCATCTGCTGTGAGAAGCAATTCCTAACAAAGAAGATAACCAAAATCCTCACTGAGTCCCATCACGACCTCTTCTCCTCAGACTCATAGGACTGTCATTTTCCTGCCAATTCAACTAATACTGCCCTAGAGTAGTTTTTTTCAATTCCAAAGCCAGTAACTGGTTAAGGTTCTCTTGCAGTCACTTAAGTAGCTGTTTAAGAATCTCTTGCAGTCATTTTTTTGTTTTCCTCACTAGCCTTAAAACACCCCAACATTCTTCCCCTTTCGCAGGTGCAGGAAACTGCCAATATCTCTAGGTCTTTGAAGCTGAAAGACATAGAAAGTTCATTTGTGCAGTGTTAAGTGCCTTGGCTTGTTCTTGGATTGGAAGTGGAAGTGGAACAGTCACAGTCACACAACACTCACCCATGAATAACTGACTTTCTATGCTTTCTGCCATACAGACCTGCCAGGAGAGACCACCTTACCCAAAGACACCAAGAGGTGTCATATCAACTGAATTTCTCTTCTCTTTCCCTGCTGATACAGGTCATAATTGCCCCAGCACTGGTCTACAGAAAAACATAGAAAGCTGTACCCAGAAGGGTTTCTGTAAGGCCATTTCCTAGTATCTCTCAGTGACAAGTCTACAATCCACCTAGGGAATTTGTTCATTCTGACTGATCTGTACCACCAGATTTTACCACAAGCAAGCAACAAGGTTCTTCCTTGTCTCCAAGCAGATTTTATCTTTTCCATACAGGTGGTCACTGAAGTGACATGATAATTTGTACCTTGCTTGGTGAATCTGTCAGAATGTCATGAAGGGTTGAAATTTCAGGAGGGCTTCGAGGTAAACCATCATCTTCAGAAACAGCACCTGCATCTTCCAGTTTCTTTCCAGTTATAACAAGTGGAGGTGACCCAAGTCTGATATTCTGTTGCAACTGAAGCTGCAGTTGAAAATAAATTTAGAATAAAGACTTTAAATAGCACTATTTATAGTGGACATTTTGGACACTTTCACACCAGTTGCTCCCATTAGGGATGCAAAATTTCTTAGTTAACAGAAATACTTGAAGAAACAGACTATTTACAGAAAATAGCCATTAACAGAATTTTTTGTTAGTTACATTCATCAGGGACCCATCATTAGAACTGGCTTTGCTACAAAATTAAAACCCGTTTTATTCAGTGAGTTAACAAAGACAGAAAACTTACCATTCCAGAAAACTTACAGCAATTTAACTCATTTTAAGTTTAAAACTTTAAAAAGTCTAGACTTAAGTATTCTTTAAATAATTACATGTATCCAGATGTCCCAAATAGTCACACAAAGCATTGTCATTTAGCAGCTCCCAACTCCAGGTTTATGTGGTCAGCTTTCCTTTCACAAAGCCCTTCCAAACATTGTAAGGTTGTCACCACCCTCTCCCACACAAATAGGTGAGTCCCACTTTTTATAGAAAGCAAATTTAATTCTGGTTCACTCTAATGAGTTTCTTGTTAATTTTCCCCAGCATCACATCCTGGTCCTGTCTATAGCAAGAATGATAACAGCGGCCAGGAACAACTTTGTTTGTAATGGAGTATTGGGATTCTTTTCCAAGACTGCACAAAAAGAATGCTCTGGCAGGCCCTGACCCTAGAAAAATAAAACAAAGTCTGCAACCTCACAAGCAGCCAGATGTTCCCTCAAACTAAAAAAGTTCAGATCTCAGGAAACACCATTACTAAAATTCTTGGCTCAAGTCTGTTATTATGTCAAAGCTGGAAAAGAAACAAGGTCTGAACAGAAACTTTGTCCTTCACCTCAACTGAATATTTCCCAGATAAAAATGCAGACCTGTTTTTTTCTGTTTCTGTGCTTATTAAACCAGACTGGGAAATTCTAGGCCTAATCCATTCATTCATAGCTCTAAAATAGACCTAATTAGCTGCCATTCGTATTCAGTAAGATTAATCTGCAATATAATTCCTACAGATCTAACAGCCACACAGGGTAGCACAATGTCACCCTCTACTCCACCGGTCTTTCAGTTCAAACAGCTTTCTTGCCCTCTTAACGACAACAATCAAAGGAGTATCACCAATATGATCTGCAAAAGCAGGACTGATGACAAACTGCACAGAGATTGCAATATATCAAGACGTATCCATGCGCACTTTATTGGAGGAAAATACAGAAAGTCAGTTTTGCTTTTCTCTCTTTTCACAACTGCCCATCTTTTATTTATTAAATTTATTACATGCAGACAGCAAAAATATTCTGGGGGAAACTGAATTTACAGTCTGTTGTCTACTGGTAGAAGTTAATTTACGTTGCTAAGAAAATAACAGCTTTTATTAGTGCTTGGCTTTCATTCTGACATGAGTCAAGCTCACGGAAAAAGGCTGTCATTTATGGCTATAAAAATAGTGCTGGCAGTGTTACATTACCATGCAGGATGATGGATGGATGGATGGATGAAGAGAGGGCACAGTGGACTGGAGATAGCATGAAAAGAGGGTTTTTTTCCCCAGCAAAGTTCTATCATATATAAACATTATTTCTTCTGATACCCCTATTGTTATACCAAAAAATACCCTGAATTGAAGCTCAGTTTATTTTGCAGTCTTATGAAAGAACAAGTCCCTCTGTGCATCTTCTATTACTGAACATGTGATGCAATTGTATTTTGCAACACGAAACTCACACTGTGCAAAGGAAGAATTTCAATGGCCTTTGGCTGCTTTATCAACCATTTGTTTTCAGTCTCTGGAAAAAACCTTAAACTTTTATCTCAGTGCTTTGAGCTAGGCAGTCATTTAAACACAATTAATATAACCAACAGTTGATAAGGGAGCTGTCAAGGAGGGTTCAGTATGTGCCTTGGAAGAAGGAAATGACCTAGCAGAATACAGTATCCTTTGTTGGCAGAGGTCAGAAGAATAATGATATAAATAAAGCTGTCACTAAGAGTGCCCTGACATATCCATCATCCCACACACACAGCCGCTGGTGCTAGCATGTACAGTGAAAACATCATAGCCAGAATTGCCCAAAAGAGTAACAGTATAAGGGACACACTACATAATAAATAAATGGCCTTAATTTAAAAACAGTAGCTATGAAGTGAAGAATAGAAATCCCATTGGAAGAGAACATGCTCATCAAGGAAAGTTTCCAAGAGCCTGTGAACTGGATTCATGTCACTCACACGCTATGAGAGCTGGGAAAGGCTGGAAACACCAGGACTGCTCAAAGATGAAGTTTCCAAGAGGCAGAATAGATCCAAAAGCAGTAAATCTCATTTGGACACTACAGTCAACAAAATCTTAAGGCACACAGCAGAGGAATCAAGCCACAGGGTTTCCTAGGGGATAGCTAATACAAAGCAGCAGCATGAATGAGGGATGATGTTCTCACCTGCAAAGTTTTCACTCTTCCAGGTATGTTTTCCTGAGACAACAGATCACCTGCCACATTTCCTGGTGCAGACTCAAAAATGAAGACGCTGTCATGGGACAAGGCTTTGTTTCCCATGCTTCCCTTGGGCCTGCGAAGGAAGGCAAGAAGAGTGGTCAGTGCACTGGATACATCCCTCCAACACTTCCCTGTGCTACTTCTCGAGGGCAGAAGGATCACAAAGAGGCCAGAGTAAGATGCATCCCACTTAACTTCAGATTTGTGCATATTAGCTGTCTTAGTGTAGTCACTGCTAGTTCCTTTTATACTCAGAAGGAAGGAAGAAACACATATGGGACAAACGACCATGGCCACAGTTGCATATCTGTCCATGGCCAAGTTGAAGTACCCAGCTAAGATATTCCTGCTCTGCTCCTGTGCTCACTGGGTGTTCAGCCCAGTGGAGCATTGATGAGTTCCCACAGTTGACTGGCTTGTAATTAACTGAGATTGATTGGAGTTGGACTATTAAGTTGTGCAGGGCAAATTCTGCACTTGGGTGGCACAACTAGAAAGGCTCCAAATCTTTTATCCACCGAGTTCCATCAGCATAGGCAGGCAGTGTCTGCGTGTCACTTTGCTCAAAAGACCACAAGGATGGCCTCTACCAGGATTTTATTCCTGTGTTTGCCTGGAAAACAACAGAGAATTCTCTTATGTTGTTGGCTGCCAGCCTCATAACCCACAAGTTACAAGGATTCCTTGGCTTAGCTTCCCTGCAGGCAATGCTCTTGCCTCTGAAAGTTGGACTCTGGGTAACAGGGGATGATCAGGAACAGAACTCTGACAAGGAAAACCCAGTAAGTCTAACACTATTCTGCAAGGAAATCAACCGAAGAGGTCTAACCCCAGATTCTCTATTTATTTAGAAAGCCCTGAAAGACTGTGAACTTCCGTAAATACTCCATGTAAAAAAATCCCAAACAAATTACTTTTTCGTCCTGCAACTCCCTTCTTTATATCTCCAGAGACATCACCTGCTTTGTCTGCTTGACTAACCCTCCTATAGTTCTAATGGTGTAGTCAATCTATGCATTCATTCATATCTCTGTAAAATGGATCATATAAACTGCCATTCTTATTCAGCAAGATTCATTTGCAATGTAATTCCTACAGCTCTAACAGCCATACAGTCTCTCGTTAGGATTCAGAAAAGTTCAATTTTTAAAACATTACATGGTGTATGGGGTTTGCATGGCAAAGGTTTGGTAGTGAGAAGACTCCAGGGGTGGTTTCTGTGAGAAGGTGCTAGAAGCCCCCCCACATCTGATAGAGATGTTATATTTTTCTCTCCTCTGTCCAGCTGAGGAGACTGATGGAGCAGCTTTGGTGGCACCTGGCACCCATCTGGGGACAACACACCACACATGGTTTAAAAAATAAAAAAGGAGGAAGAAAAGAAACCAGTGCTTCTGCCTCAAGAACAAACACACAGCAGCATTATTCTAGGATCGGTTCTGATACTCTGCATGCCAAAAATTGCAAAGCACAGGGTCCTGCTATAAACCCTTCACAAGCTGTATTTCCATTGGCTTTCAGGATCAGGTTTTCCAAAGGATTATGTAGCTCAGTCTCTTTATGTAGTTACAAAGCATGCTTATGCTGTGCAGGGTCTGGACATGATAAAGTTTTTAAGTAGCACAAACAGATCTTCTAATTCTTTTGGATAGTCCACCTAATCTTACCTCTAAGGGAAAAACCAGAAGGGTTTTACTCACTTCCTGATCTCTGATCTTGCAAAACAGTTCACAATCGCTAGAGGATAGTGCTGGAGTAAACAGCAACTGGACATCAAGTACTTGGTTAAGGGCAAGAGAAAGAGTTCGCACCCACACTGCCTCTGGAGCAGGCAGCTGATTTTAAACCAGATCCCTCCTATGGGCCAGTGGGTAAACTTGGCTGTTCCTAAGCTTTCTGGACTGAGTTAGCTGACTCACTCTAATTCCCCTTAGCCCAGGGGACCGGTTATGTGGTCACTTACTCTGTTGCTGTTATGCTAACAAACAAAATAAAGAGATTGTTGTTTCATTCCCAGATCATTTCCATGATGCAATTGCATAAACACAACAGAGAGTGGGGAAAGGTGGGGCAAGGAGGAACCAGCACCCATGAGAAAGTAACATCTATAAGCTGTTCCACCAGAAGAAACACAGCGTCCAGCTTCACCAAATGCCTTGTATGATTATACAAAGCTTTTGGCAGCAATGCTGATTTCAGCATGTCTCACTCTGGTCACCTATTTGTGTCCCCTGCCAGTGTCCCCTCCAATAAACCACTGCAAACAACAGGATGTGTCTGGTGTTTTGTCACACATTACTAGTCTGCAACTCTACAACTCAAGGCCTAGGGTAATACAAAGAAAAGCCTGGCAGAGTAGCTAACAAGGGAGTATGAAGAGGGTGGGAAGTTGGAAAACAGACAGATACTGATGCATGGCACCCCTGGTGAGAGAGGTAACCACGTTCAGAGCATAGGCCCACCTCAGATTCAGTCACAGATGTGCAATGAAGTGTTGTGTAGCTTGACAGTTTAAGGTTATGAGTGAAGCAGTGTTAGCAGGGCAAGCTAATAGCTGTATTGCACTAATTGAAGAATGGGCAAGTTTTTGAACTAGCATCATTCAGGGACCTGAGAATTGCTCTGCAATTTGCTTAAGGACTTACAAACCTCACTCACACGGACAGCCCTCCAGGGGTGGCTGACAAAACTAAAGGTTTTCAGCTGTACCCGAACAGCTACATAAGAAAGTTAAATCAGCCATCTCATACTGATAATACACCAAAAATACTTGTCCCTTTACCCCAGCCATGATGTAGGGCACTACTGATGCTGAAAACCAGCAACTCAACTTCATACGTATTCTCTTGACTAGCACTACTCAGTCATCGTCCCCTTGTAAAGTTGCTCCTGATCAGACTCTTCCAGATTTCAAGCACTAAACCCAATCAAAACAATCTGGGCTGTCTGCAGTTTTAGCCTAAGAGGTTGGGTCACCCCTGCCCCTGGCTGCCCTCCCCCTCCTCTCCAGGCTGGCTTTTTAAGCACTAGCAAAGAAGGAGGAAATTCCTGGAATTCCTTCATCAGCATTAGGACTTGTTTTGCACAAACTTGGACAGAGGTTGCTCCTTAGGGGCCAGCTCATGCTTTCATCCTACTGCTGCAAGAGGTCCACTTTCCCAGCAGCTTACCCAGCCTCCTCCGGCGAATGAAGTGCAGTTGTGTCAAGCACGGAGATGCTGACATCGCTGCTGGACTGGCAAGGTTTTAAATTACTCTCTCCCCTGGGAGGTGGAGGTTCTTTCCTTTTCTTCTTGGCAAAGAAGTTCTTGAAAGTCTGAAATTTGGATTTTTTCTTTCCTGAAACATGAGAGAAATGAAAATTTACAGTAAGTTGGAGGCATTGCTTAGTCTGGAGAATGTTACCTTGTAACTTCTGGAGGAAGCCTCAAAGCTACAGCAGCCCATTCAGTTCTAGCTCCTTTGTAAATAATTCAGTGCTGGAGTCCAGTGAAAGGTGAAGCTGCAGTTCTTACATTTGCTGCCTATAAAGCAATACTGCATCGAGCTGACAATAGCAGTGCCTACTTAGGTTCCAGGTTTTGAAAAATACACATTAAATAGAGAACGTATCTACCCACAAGTGAACAGTGATCATGACGATCATACTTGATATATTTTCACTTTTAAAAGTAATGTCAATGTCTTCAACTCCTATAGTTCTTTGCTTAGCTTGGCTTAGTTCTGCTTTTTATTTACTCAGTGAGTAAGGAGACAACACCTGGAGGGTATTCAACATTTGGCAAAAAGACTGAAACTGGCAAAGGAATTTATAAACTCTAAAACATAAATATCTCTTTCCACATTAAAACACTACCCCAAAATAAACACCAGCAACTCCTCCAAGGACAATGGAGCAAAGTTAGATTAAGACAGTGCCCTGCAGGACATGAAACCCCCAAACATGGCAGCCCTAAGAACACAACTGGAAAACTATTAACCCGATTTCATTGCCATTGATTTTTCATTGTCCAAATGAAAACACAAAAAGAACAAAATAAACCATATGAAACATCACTGACTTATTTAATTTTTAATAACCTAAGATACTTTAACATTCTCATTTATATTTTCCTTCAGCACACAAATGCGTCATTTGGTCACCGAAGCTTACACTGGGGGGGGGTGGGGGGGTGGTGTCAGTTTGGAGTGGTTTGGGCCAAACTACTGTACTAAGACCCCTGTAATTTCTGAAGTACATATGCAGAGCAATAACATCACTGCATATCTGAGCCAAATTCATTGTTCAATTAATACTTTCCAAGAGTTGGCATAATAAATGCCCACAGCTGGAGGGTTCCTCCATAAGCAAGGCATTATTTCAACACAATTATTGTCTTCTCCCAGCAATGATTTAGTCGGCAATGCTCTGTTTCAACGTGTGCCCTGTACGTGTAAGGATCTGTGCCAATGGGCCTTATCTGGGCTGAAACTGTGCCACCACACAGCTGCATCAGACAGTAGCCACTTTGAGAAATAAACAATGATACTGAGATATACTCACCCTGTCTCCTCCCTGCTCTCAAGCTCAGTGCCAGCACCATGTGTCAGGACATACAAGGACACTGCTACACTGTCCGGCACGGACTGATGAGATGTTACCTCTCTGCAGAGCAGTATCAGCCACAGAAGACCTACACATTGCTTTTCAAGTGACTTGGGCTTCCATGGACACCAAATTATCCTCCAAACCATGCAGAGCAAAACTATCAGTGAGTTCCACTCATCTGAATAATAATGGATGTGGTGCTCCTTGGAGGGTTTATCGGTGGAAGACTTTTGCAATCAGCCATAATGCCTCTCAGATAAAACAACATGTTGAGTGTCTTTTAGAGTGTCTTCAGAAACGCTTCCCTTTCATTAGGGTCATTCATATCAGCAATTAGACAACCTATACGGTATTCTCCCAGGAAACTTGTCAAAGCTGAGATGGTTTCTTTTAGATGAGCAAAACAAAGGATTAAAACGTTTCATGAAAGCAGTGCCCCAAAATTATCAGTTCAGCAATGCCTGCTAACAAAGGCCAATGACCCAAAGAGCACCATGGCGAACTTTGCTGCACACAGACAGCTCTGCAACTTAAAGGCAGTCTAAATGAAAAACAATGACATTCTCATGTACACTGGTCAGCTGACAGTATTATAGACAGACAGCAAGTCTGATTCTAGCTCAATTATTATTGATGACCTTAAGTAGATGCTGGTATTTCTAGAGAACTGATACCACAACAGAAAAAGAAGTCATCCTAAGAGCATTTAAGAGAAACAGACATAAGTCCTACCAGAAAGGATAACATTGCCAGGGTACTACTCCAAATGCTTGTTTGGATCAGAAGTGGTGCTAACTTTAGAATGGAACCCACGGAAAGGACTTGCAAACACTGCTAATGACTGAAATTCATCTGGCATGGGACAACACTTGGGTATCACTGCGTAACAGAGAGTGCTGCAGACACATCAGTTACTTCAGTGCCTTCTCCAGCCTCTAATTTATTACTGGTGCACAGTAAACTGTTCACACCCTGAACAGTTGTGCACTAGTTTTACGCACTGTTAAAAGGATGCCACATTTAATTTAAAGATGCCTACATTTCAGCACACTGTGAAGTAGCCAAACATACCACTGAATTGGAAGAGTACTCCGTGATATTTGAACTGATAATATACAAGAGGATCTTATTACTTAATATGAAAAAAATTCATTGTCTAACAAAATTCCAGTCAAAGCAAGGAGAGAATACCCAAGCTCAGACAACTATGCCTATTTCCCCTTCACCCACTGAAGAATAAGACTCATGATTTTTGAATTCTTATGGTTCTCAATCTTCAATTTTATGGCATTAAAAATAAAAAACTAAATTGAAGGGCTACTGCCCTAAAAAGCAAAAGCCTTCCAAAAAATTAGTTGCTTGTGCTGTTATCTAGCCCACTGTAACAGAAGGAGCAGGAGTGAGCATTTTTCTTTCTCTGTAAAGTTTGTATGTTCTGTATTTCTACTGTTTGTGTACTGCCTATTTCATTGTTTCTCCTGTGCACAGAGAGAACTAACACACATTTCTGCTCTTTGCGCATTTCTTCTCTATAACAAGAGAAAAAGATGCTTTTCCCAGAGCAAAATTCAGACTGGAAAAAGCAGAGGGAACATCTGATTCGGGAGCTCAATAATCATATTTAAATGAAACAGTTAATTTGGGGATCTTCTGTGTTCTCTGAGTTCCTAAGGTGCATTCAGGAGATATTTTCCATTTTCTCAAATTGAAGGAGTAGATACTTCACCAATAAACACACATGATTAAGAAAAACCCCACAGACAATATTGTCAGAAAAGACCATGGTTCTAGTTCCATAAAAAGTACCTGGCACTGCCAGCCAGGTAATAAAATCATGGAATTCTGTAAGGCTAACACTAGGTGCTGGCAGTTTTTGGACAGTGACCTGGTTACTGCCATCAAGAAGGAACAGATGCACCGGAAGCCCTCTACTACTAGTCAGACAATAAGGTAAACCTCAGGAAGACAATCTAATTGACTAGATGGTAAAGGCTAGGGATTTTAGCCTTCTGGAGCCTTCACATCACAAACCAGTTAGGAAGAGGTAAAAAGGAAGAGGTGAGGCAATCCTAAATCACATGGGAAGTAAGCAAAAGAACCAAAAATGGCTTTATCCAGGTCCATCAAGTGTCTCTTGAATATTTCAGCAACAGTACAGCAGCCTTTAACTTAGAAAAGTTTTGGTTCAGTTACAGCCAGAAATATTCCCACTGGTTTTAGAGCCAACACTTAAACCAGGAAGCCATCTCCTGCCTTCCCTGTGACCCAGCTTAGGATCTGATCCATTTTGTGAATCTTCCAGTGACCATGAGTACAAAATTTGTATGTGTGGGTCTCATACAGGTTCACCAGCATGCCATGGGTACCACCGGAACATCTCGATAAACTAGATCACAAATTTAAGCTTTCAACCACTGCCAAGCATCCACCATTACACTTTCTTCGTCCCATCCATCTGCTATGCAGTCTATCAGTCACTTTGCCATTTGCTTCTCTTTCTACCAATATTTTGGAAGTGACAAATGTATTTCTAAAGGACAAAGCAAGATGACCTTCGAAACACAAACATCTAAGATGACTGGGAGACATTAGCCAAAGAAAAGAAAACAAATCAAGTGATACGACAGCCACTTTTTGAAACACCTCAACTTCATATGCTGTTCTTCACATTCACCTATGCCCTCGGGAAGAGTCTGAACACTGGAAAAGAGGGTTACCTTTAATTAAGACAACTTGTTGACATAAGTAAGATATTTTCCTTTCTTGCCTATTATTCCATTCCCTCATGGCTGCTTGCATCAGGCTATGCCACTAGATTAAAGAATAAGTAGTAAGTGGTTATCTGTGGCCAGAAGCAGCAAGTGAGGCTGCAGTGGGGATGCTGGAACTGTTCTCACAGCCAGAGGCTAGCTAAAGGCTCAGCTCCCACCTCTGTAGGATCCATCAAAGCCTGCACAACAAACAGCCCTTCAAGCTCTAATGTTCTATTTTTTTAAATCCAAGCCAGAATCAAAAAGAATATCCTCCATCAGGGGATGACCCTACAGTACTGGACATTCAAAGACCCTTCCCATAGTATTGCCAGCTGACAAAGCCATGCAGATTTTTTTTTTTACACTACAAAACCCAAAACAATGCTGCAAAACAAGTCACTACAGACCCCTGACCATGAAGAAAATAAATCCTGACTTCCAAATCAGCTATACATTCACAGAACACCTGCTTACCCGTATATTCTTCAAGTGTGTCTCCTGTTTCAGGTGACTGTGTGACCTCTGTTGGTCCTGTAGCCATGATGTAGTCACTGAAAAAGAGATGAAAGCATCAGTTATATTTTTGCCTACCTTCCTAGTAGAATATGGTCCCACCTAGCATGAAAAAAAAAGAATATAGTGGGATCCTTTCTGAAGGTCCATACCCAAACTCTGATCACAGACACAGCTCACACACTTTTTTGCACTTTGGCCACAGAACTTCTACTCATTTTTCAGTAACATACCTCCAGCCAAAACTAACAAACCAGTTTAACTTCTTAGCAGTACCTCTGTCTTTTTAGGAAACCAGGACCAAAGTTTGCATTAATGAAAGATGTCATTAAACTTGCTCAGCAAAGACTGTGATGCTTCCCAGTCTCAGAATAACGAGCCTTTATGACTGCTCTTCACTAGAGCATGACAGCTCCATGCTACTGTAAAACACACCCACAAATAAGTGCTCTGCTGCCAAGGGTTCATGTGTTCCAGTGTCCTCACAGCAGGCACCAGTCTAGTCTGTCAGCATTATTAAAATTAGTTAAGCATCAGCACTGAAGCATCATCCTGAGCTATGCTACATCAGTGGAAACCGATAGATCAAATTTATTTTGGATCCAGTGCAATCAGCTTCTAGCCACAAGCTTTGAAACCTTATCGCAGGCAGGGCTATTGATCAACCAAATTAGCTGATGGCATCATCTTCCTGCTCGATGAAAACAAAAGTGCAGCCTAGTTTTAAGATCATTCAATGTTAACTGGCTCCACTTTGTATTTTCCAAGACTCCCAAATGGGTGTCTGTCGGAGACAAAAGAATTAAGCTGCAGACTGTTAAAGTACAAATGTCAAGCAACAATGGAAATGTGACAGTTTAGCAGGGCAGCTCGTAAATACTGGCTTTTTTTCTGGGAGATATCTAGATGATACATTTACATAGTTAGCAGTTCCAGTATACTTTGTCAGGACTTAAAGAGTAAGAAATCTTTACAAACAAATGAAAATACCCAGCAACCAATCCTGCTCCCCTTTCTGCACAGACCTCATCTAACATTTTTCCACCTCAAAGTGGTGTAAGAACACCGCCAAGACAAGCATCTCAACAGCAAGCAAGATTATGATTCTGTACAAATTTGGTCCATCAGTAAACTATTCTATTTCGTCTCTACCACCCACACACTCTATAACCTGTCATACCCCAAAGCACTGGGACTTTCCTGTGAGCCCACGTCCTCAGATAGCCTTAAAAGATAAGGTGCAGACAATCAGAGGCAGAGGTGGTGGGACTGTCACCAAAAAAAAAGGGAGGGGAGCAGACCATGGAGATAAGAGGCAGAGTTCCTGCAAAACCAGACCACAGAGTAAGCTTTCCCTGTACCAGCCACCCAGATACACAGACTGCCATGCTGCTGAACGTAGGGAGAAAGGGAGGAGATAGACTGGAGTGGTTCTCTGTTTTATAACAGATCATCTGTGAGCAGTGAACACAGGAATGCATTAACATACTGTAGTTCTAAACAAACTCATTCAACTTACTAAAATCAGTGAAAAAGTCATTGCAGCAACCAGAAATGGTTACATCTTTTCAAAATAAGACACACAGGAAGTTCTTGAAACAATTGTGTTAGATATACTGAGAAGCAACAAAAACAAAGACTTGTAAGATTTTTTCCCTTTTGGATTATCATAACCATTCAACTCTTCTCCCTTTTCTTGCCTCACATCTCATCACTTATCCATGAAAATGTGCACATTTTGATTAAAGTGTTCATCAGCAGACTTTCTCATAGACTATTTCTCCACATTATAATGAAACTCAGCTCAAATTTTCCCGCTCAACTTCATACACCATGCACATTGACCATGTTAGATTTTTCTTGAGGGGAAGGGAAGTGCATCTGAAGTAAAATATCAAGAAAGCATTCAACAAACTTACAAGGACAAACTGGCAAGTCCCTTCTTCTGCTTTACCCACCTGCAATAAAATCAAAGCAAGAGAAAATGCTGCTTTCAGATCAACCTTTGTTACCACCAGCTCTACATTCATTTGAATTACTCAATCATTTCAGCTGATCACTCAGAATCCCTCCAGCCTTTAGAAATATTTTGACTGCTACATTTATTATAACTGCAAGCATTTACTTCCAATTGGTTTATCTTTTATACAAGTAGAACTGTAATTGTAAAGCAGTTCAGCTCTGAGGCAGTCTCTTCACAGTCAAGTCAGCTCCAGCATTAACTCGATTTTACAGCTGAGTTCTCTGAAGCATGTGGAGGTCAAGTGTCAATTGCAAGGGTGCACTGGTTGTTGGCAAATATGCCCCATTTAGGACCTAATGGTTTGGTGCCTCATCGCAGTATCATCTTTTTCCAATGAACTGAACATCACAGATTTTTCCAAGCTTTACGTTAGCAATGACCAGGAAAAGATACACATTTACAGCAAAGTGTAAGTCCCACCATTAAAAGCTTGATGATACACCTGAAGGAAAGTTGGCAATTAACACTTGGACTTCAAATTCTGGTGGCAGTGAGTTGTACTTTACAGAAAAGAGCTAGCAAATGCTCTGAGCAGCAAACCCTAAACTGGATCAAAGTAATGCAGAAAAAGAGGACAAAACCCCATCAATACAAATACATGTGAGTGCACAGGCATTAACTTATCGAACCTTCAGACATTCACCACTTCCAGGCCTTAATGACAGCTGACAGATGCAGTGTCAGGATGTGTCAATACCATGTACACTCAGTTCAGTCAGCTGTACTAACCATGTGCACCCTGAGAGCTTTCCCAGAGCATTATGCCATTAGAGACAAAGTTTTAAACAAACGCTGTAGGCATATGGATTTTCAGTGATAAAAACATCAGGTTAAACAAATGCCCTTTTAGAGCACTACTTCTGATATTCTTCAGGCTAGTTGATGCTAGAGGACAGCATCCCTCACATAGCAATGAAGGAGACTGTCTTCTCAGTGGGGGAGCCATCAGGCAGGGACAGATGATAGCTATGGCCAGCCAAGGTAGCAGAGTTGTCAAGTCACGCCTCCTGTTTGCTTCCTAGTAAAAGTGGAACAGTGGGCATATTTCCTCATTCTACAACTTTCTAGTCATGCTCTTAGTCCTCTCTCAAACAGCATTTGCAATCCCTGCATACGCACAGGCCTCCTGTTGCAGAGGTACAATACAAAGAAGATGCTCAGTCTCTGCTAGACACCTTAAAAACCAGACCTGGTCCTGCCTCCCTGCACCAATTCCCATGTAAAGCCATGGAAAAGACTGTATCTACTGAGAGCAGCAAGGATTGACTCCAAGGTGTTCGTCTTCCCTTGTACAGTTTGATGGGCTGGATTATTATACCTAAGAATGAATTACTTGCAAGTATTCAAGTGGCTTCCTATATAGATGCAATCACAACAATCGACCTGACATTACTAGACCCTGTTTGCATTGCAAGGGTGTATTTTAAAGCAATAAAATTCCTATAAAGTTGGAGAACTTGCTTTACTTTCAAAGCAGGACACAGGACATAGCGATCACCACTCAGCTGGTTTCATGGTTCAAATCTAGGCTCCCTAGTATCCCATACAAAACTTCCATTAATAACCCTACTGTGTTGCATTCACTTGGAGCTCCTTGACTCATTAAAGGAACTAATGAGCCTAAAGGTTAAAAAAAAAAAAAGAAATCTCCAGGAAGAGGAGAAATATCCTTGTCTCCCTTTTAGAAGCTGGGGCAGCTGCAGATATTTGCAGTGCGCTATGGGAAGGCAGTGATAGGACAAAAGAAATAAAGTCCCAGCGTGGTGTTCTGACCATTCCCTTTTTGTTGCTGAGTACATTACTGAATATGTACCTCGTGGGAGGTAGAGGAGAATGCTAAAAGAAGACAAGCCAATTCCCTTTCAGTGCTTGGTTTGTGTATTTAAGGACTCCTGGGAAGTTAACACTGTACAGGACTCATGCTTCCTGCATTTAACAAAGGCCCAAGACAAACAAAAACACTTTCTGCTCAGCCTCAGAAAAGGGACAGAGCCTCCTTGCTGTCTCTCCAGTGGAGCAGAAGACTTGGAGACTGCCCAGCAAGCAAGCTCCTACCCCAACTTCAGTGCTTCTTCAGCTTCATTCCCATGCTTCTGTACAAGCATTCTGGAAGATCTTATGACAGAGTGATCAAAGGAGATGCTGAAGCCTAAACAGCCCCTTTCCTATCAACTAAATGCTTGAGGAAATAAAGACTCAAGAATACGAGGCACTGCATTCAGTTAGCATCTTCATAGCCTATAGGAGACAGACAATGGCAAGCAGCCAAGAGGAAGAGAAGAAATTTTTGCCTAGAGCTTTTAAAGATCAATTTCCTTCATGCTACAAAAATTATGTGAAATCAAGCTTATGCTCCAGATTTCAGGACACACATTTTGCACAGCAAGATGGATCAGCAGAGGAAAACGCACACCCCTCATCTGGTCCTCTAGGCCACCACCCTGCAGCCAGCCCCCCCCCCGAACATGCTCCAAAGCTACTGAAGGACCTCAAAGAAAGCCCCTCTATTTCTTCTGAACACCAAGTTTCAAAGAAACACAGAATGCAAGATGGTTTAGTATTCAGAATACATTCTGCAGCAAAAGGTGACTGACAGGTTAAATTTGTACTGTATCTTATTAAAGCACACGAGACGACTTTGTTCTGACAAAATGTGGTTAATTGCTTCCCTCCCTGGGAACCCTGCAAGGAACTATCAATGAACTCACTAATCCAACAATTAAATGAAGTTCACCCTCTGCAGCTCCACAGAACAGGATTTCAGAGTCAACCATAAAGCAACAGCAGAGCCAGCAAGATTTCTATTCAATTTTCACACCCCTTGAGCATATCAGAAACCCAACAAACAAAGCTCCCTTTGCTCTCCATGCAATGAGCCGAGCAAACTGCACTTCAAGTTCCACATTCAGGGAACATGCTGAATAGTGTGGGTTCCCACAAAAACTTTGCTGAAACAGACTACAACCCAACATGATGGAAGGAACTGGGATCTGACCTTGCACAGCTGATTACATTGTACTCTGTTCTATAGTGTTTCCAGGATGAAATTCCCAGGGGGTTTTGCCAGTTCTTAGCTGACAAATCCTAGTCAGACCATGACTGTTTCAGGTAGGCATCAGAGAGCAGCACGATCAGCAGCTTATATTACCACACTTGCTACTGCCTCCACTACCAGTGACAGAAGGAGTTTACAAAGTTAATGAATATTGCTCTTGTAATATGCACCAAAGGAGGGAGGGTTTAAGGACATTTAAGGTCCTTTTCCAAGGATCAGAAATAATACAGCAATAGTAGCTGCGAGGAAGTCTGGATAAGCAACTAGGTAGTATTTAATATCAATAAAATACTCTCCCAGCATCAAGTAGGAGGCCATAATTCCCCACAGCAACAGACAACATTCAGCTCTGACCCCCGATGAGATATCCAGAGCAAACAACCATCAACATAAAGAGATCTACTCACAGCTTTCACACTTTGCATTCGAACACCCCCTCACCACCCTGTGTCCCCACACCTTGGCTTCTCTGAGAAGGCATGCCAGAAGACAGGTCCCAGTGTGCTGAACTCTTTTCACCTACATTCTGCTTTGAGAAGCCTCTGCCTGACAGCGATTCTGAAGGATTTCTGCAATTCAGCAGTGCCTGAAGCATTATGTGCTGCCCTCCCAGCGCGCGTGTGTGTAACACTAATGGAAAGCAGCTGGTGGGCTGAAGCTGACTTAAGAAAAAAAAAAGTAACAGGAGGAAATGCCTTTCATACAGTCACACAGGCTTAGTCTGTAATTGTGAGAGAAGCCAAAAGGATAAGAAGGGGGAAGGGCAAATGAGAGAAAAACATTCAAAAGCTACTAGAGAAAGCAATGGAAATGCACTCTGCTACCAGTGCAGGAACTGAGAGAGTAAATGCCTCTGTCCCATGCCTGTCCCCACAGACTCATGCCCTCTCAGCAGCCATGCCATTTGCTAAACCACTGCAGAAGGGTCTCTCTGCAGTGGAGACATGACTGCAGTATATATACACAGACCTGTGGTACCTTAAACATGAGGCAGGGAGCAGTAGTAGAGCAACTGTTGGCTTGTACTCGGTTTGAGAGGCCAAACTGAAGTCCAAGATACCACAGTTTTGTGACACTTGGCACCCACGCCAGAGAGATTATGCTGGTTTGGACATATCACTTCAAGCTGGCCTCATACAGCTAATTACTCTGCAGTGCTTATTAGCGTGACCTGGTGTAGGTGCTGTCAGTGCAAGGATCTCCACTGCAAGTCGGTAGCTGCTCAGACAGTAGAGCAGATATCTGCCTCTTTGCCAAAAACTAAGTCAAATATTTCTGAATAGCCCATCCTGATAAATTTATCATAATTTTTCTAGTGCATTTTCTGATCTGCACCAATCAGGAGAAATATGACAGAACTTTGCTCAAATCAAGACTAGCACCAACATAGTCACGATCTAAGCACACCCAAGAACTCAACCAACATTTTGGGCCCAGACTGCCTCCATTTTAAAAGAATGTACATTAAACAACTTGGTTGAATTGCACCATTTGGCATTAGCATAGGAATAAGTTGGTGCTATTCCCATGTAGTAATTCCTTTTCTTCACACTACCACACTGGGGAAATTGCAGGAAACAGCTGGAATGAGGATCTTCTACTCTTCCTAAAAAGAAGTAAAAGCAGCAGCAGAGTCATCCAGCAACTGTGTTAAGGAGCTAGTACGTTGCCAGCAGCAGCAGGCACTCTCAGATCTACTTGACATGGATACATTGGGAGTAGTTGGGAAGGAAGGGGAACATGCATTTAAAAATCAAGGAGGATGTAACCAAAGGCTGCCTTGGACAGTTTGGGAGCCTCACCCAGTGAGCATTACTGCCTTTGGAAACAGTTTCAAGAGCGAAGCAACAGGAAATGTCAAGCCACAATCACTAAATAGC